TGCCACAGAGAAACTAGCTAGCAGATTATTTTCGCAGAAGCCTTGGAAGCACGACTTTCTTAGGAAGCAATGTGCCAAGAGCTACCAGAATTTAAAATGTGCCAAAGTTTGTCCCAACAATTCCATATCCATAAACTTACCCAACAGGGAGTGTGAAAATACATTCTCTCAAGCATCTTACAGCAACATATTTGTAACTGTGAAAAACAAGTCACCAATAATGACAACTTAGGCACCTGTTAAAATGCACGTCTTAAAAGACATCCGTGTCACTGAATGACTAAAAACTTAAAATACAAAATATACAGTATCTTGGTGCATAGTACAACATGCAAAGCTTTCAGATAGATGAAACTATACATTCTTCAAGAACGTATAAATATGTGAACAATTACACAGAGTTACTTAGGTAACTAGGTACTTAGTTTCCTTTCTCATTGACTTCAGATGTTGCCTTTATTCCAATGTGCTGCTGGGACTATTCTAACATTTCATTCCCCTTGTTTATCTGACTATTACTTAATACCAAATTTTTGGTTCACTTAGCAATATATTACAAACATCATTGTGTCTTTAACATTTGTATAGTAAGTATCACACTATATGAATGTACCATGAACAATGTCTTTTCTTCTATGACTTATACATTGGAAGATCCTTGAAGCACATAATTTATGTGCTTAATCTAAATTTGTAGTTATGAAATTGTCTGAGCGAAGCGTGTGTGTATTTAATTGATAACTTTTGCCAACACACTCTGGCAGGGCTGCTTTCTTCTCACTTTCTCAGTTTTAATGGCTGGTCTAATATGTTCTCTCAAGTGAAAACAAGCATAGTATTTATTGCAGTGGCATTACATTTACAAACTAACCCAAGAAAGTTGTTTTGATGCTGTCTTCCTATTAACAATAAGGCACATTCTTGTTTGAGTCTATTGTCTTCCAAAAGTTTTCTTTTTCCAAAACAGGACTTTCTTATGTAGGTATTTAAACATGTCTGAATGAGTTCATACATGAGTCTTTTCTATTCCAGCAATCAGAGACCTTGAGGTATGTCTTCTAAATGGTTTAGGTTTATGTAGATATATTTGTGAAGTCTTTTTTTTTTTTACTAAACATTTTTATTGAATTGTATTTACACACACAGAACAATACACAAAGCACGACTGATGGTACAGCTTGGTAAATACTCATAAAATGAATGCACCTATGTAACCAGCACCAGAGAGCCCTTGTATTCTTTTCTAGGGCAAAGAAGCCAAGTAAGACACAGTGTACACCACACAGTTGCAATTATAGAAAGTTCACAAACAGTGGACCTAGCTGGTGACCAAGCCAGCTCTGTAGCACTTATGTTTGGAGAGGGAGGAGGTGGCTGAAAGAGGTGATTTCTGACAACACTTGGCTCAATCTTATAGAACTATGGAAATGCAGTCCTTATGCAGCCTGCACATTAACTACTGCTGCTAATTAAGTTCTTTTATGGTTTGGTGTCTCAACAAATTGCTTTGGGTTTTTCAAGTGATCCTATTTGCCAAGTTTGGACTCTTCCTGATTCATGTCTTTGCTCTAAGTTGCTTGGCTGAAAGTTCTCGTGTGGTGTTACGTAGTAAAGGAGACAGTAGGCAGAGTCTTGTTTCAGCTTTGTAAGAAAGGCTCTTTGGATTCAATGGTAGGATGCTTGCCTCTATGGTAGAGAGCAATGTTAGGAAACTGTATCATTTTCTTATATGAGTGCTTAACTCTATCAAATCAAATGCCTTTTCTTTAACACTATATTAAGATTGTCTAGAACTGAATTATCCTTGCATTCCTAATACAAACTCAACTAAGCCATGATTTTATTCCCTCTTCCAAGTGCTACTGGGTTGTGGGCCTAACAAATCACTAATTTGTATTGATATTTATGTTTGTGTTTGCAGGCATGTGGAGGCCTGAGATCAACCTCAGTTGTTCTTCAGCTTTTTATGTTAGGTTTTAAATTTATTATTATTTGTGTGTATGGGCACATGTGTCATGCATGCATGAGGTCACAGGACAACTCCATGGAGTTGGTTTTCTCACTCCACCTTTACATGGATTCTAAGAAATCTAATTCAGATGGCCAGGCTTGTGTAGCAAGAGCCTCTACCCACTGAAACAGCTCACCTGCCTCACCTTACTCTCTAAACAGGGGTCCTCACAGGATTTGGGGCTCATCAATTAGGTGGGTGGCTAGCCATCAAGCTCCAGTTAGCTGTTTCTCAATGCTGGGAACAAGTGCTCAACATCAAGCCCAGTTTTTCCCTTGGGTGCTGGGGATCAAATCCAGGTCTTCATGATTAAGTGGCAAACACTAAAAGAACTATCACCAGACTGTGGGGTATTAGCAAGCCTTAATGGCCTAGAGCTTCCCTTTTTTTGGCATAATCGTTGTTGTCTTTTTAAATTAATGTCATTATACCAACTCTACAAAGTAAACATTTGAAACATTTTCTTTTATTTAGTAATTTAAGATTTCTAGCCTCTAGAATTATTAAAGCATAGTTGAGATTCTTCAGTCTTACAGGATTGTACAATAGTCTTTTATTTGCATTTCATTATGGTAGTTGTATTCTCTGCATTCAATTTTATCAATTTGCATTTTTCTCTAAAAACTACACCTTTAAGACAAGTGGGAATAAATCAGTGTGTTTAGTGCCCTTTCCCTTGTCATTTAAGTTTCCTACATGCTCCTCCTGTGTCTTAAAAGGCTCGATGATGGGTTATCTCCCTGAGCATCCTTGCCATGCCAGAGCAGGGGCTTCTACATTTCTTACCTTTAGATTAATTGCCTTTTGCTTTTATCTTTCTGCCTACTTCCCCTGCTTGATTTTATTTTGTTCCCTGCTTCAATTCTGAGACCATGTGTGTCACCAAAAACACTCCATGCTGCTGTCACTGACTTTTTAGGTTTCAGGGGCCTTGGTTGGGTTTGCTCTTGTCTGTGCAGACACCGCTCTAACTTTGGGAACAGAATGCTCACCTGCTCTTTTCTTTAAATCATTGTTTAAAATGTTCTAGGAAATGGCTCCATCTTCCCAGCACCCTTCCTTGCTGTGATTGAAATGATTGCGTATGCCTGCATTTATGCATCTGTGTCTACAGGCCTTTCCTCTCAGCATTTATTTTAGCTATCTCTCCTTTATGTGCATGCCTATCCTGTCTAGTTTTGATTCTAATTCTAGTCATTTCTACCCAGTGCTGTGCTTTACCTCATTAATTTCAAAAGGTACATAGTATCAGGCCAGACTGTTCTATCTATTATTATCAACACACCTTCCACTGTCCCACGCTCACTGACCACTGACAGGATGCTGTAGAGTGCTTCCGAGTTTCAACCTTTATTTTCACGTGGGCCCACTGCCCTCTGTAGTGAGAACAAGGCAACACCACAGTTTCCCAATCTGCAGGGCTTCAGAACCCAGCTGCTTTCTTCCCATATCCTCTGCACAGAAGGGGAAACACTGTGGGCTGAAACCATGCAGGTCACATTTGTTCTTTCACTTGTATTCTGAGGCTCACAGGCATACCACCTGTCACCTACTTTTGCAATGACTGTGGCTATACTTGATATTCCTTCTCTTACTTATGGGCAAAGTTAAAAAACTACTCTGTTGGCAGCATCTTCCTTCAGTTTAAACCCTGTTAAGATTTCTATTGTACAAGAGATTTAAAAAAACTTTTATCATCATATGAAACTATAATTAGAAACCTGTTGTATGCAAAGTGCTTTTATATATTATCTCATTTAATCCTGAATCAGCCTAGTGAAGGAAATTCTATTCTTTCTATCATTTTACTAACAGGGGAATTGGGTCCAAGTTCATGACACAATGGGCAGATAGGTGGTTTAAACCTCAAATCATCTTGCTTCAGATGACCTCCTCATCCCTCAGTTTATCAAATACTATCAGGTCTGACATTTCAAATTATGAACATTGTCAGCAAAATTTATATTCAGACTTTATTACTAATACATACCTATTTAAAAACCTAATAAAAAACAAGTATTATAGGTCAAACCTAAATCTTGACCTAATATTGATAAATAAATGTGTCTTGCTACCACTCTTCTACAGTACAGTAAGAGGAGGCTGGCTGAGGGACAGTGCTGCACTTCGGAACTTCATGTTTCTCCTCTTACTGTGCCACTACCACCAGAGAACATGTGCAACGCTGCTTAGAATTTATTTTAGTAATAAATATCTTCATAGACACAACTATTTAGGAAAAGCTAGAAACAGTTCTCCATACTTCAAAACAACTCAATCTTTTTTGGTAGATAATGTTTCTATGAAACACAAACATTCACTGGTCAATAAAGTGTCACACAGAACCTTGCCTCTTAGAGTTATTACAATTATTCTGCTATTAATATTTCTTTGCCAAAAATTACTTTAAGGAGTTTGAAAATATAAATTACTTTTATTTTATAAATCTTCTATTTATTAATAACCAATTTTCTTAACTTCTAACTAACAGTTGGCAGCAACTCAGGAAAAACACTGACTCCCGATATACACCTAGTGCATTTTCATACATGCTATCTCAGGTCTTAATGTGTAACAGATAACTCAGTTGGAAACAGGATTGCTGTTATTTGCTTAGATTTAAACAGAAGCAACTGGAATAACTTGTGGGAGGATAACATTTGTTGGAAAGCTTTTCTCTCCACCACTGGAAGATTTACTTCTAATGAGGATTTGGTTGGCTTATTAGTTTTGGGGCCAAAGATCAAAGCCAGGGAGCGCAGGGCCTCATGCTACCAGGCAGTGAGCTAGACTCCCAGCACTGTTTTATTTGACTTTGCAGACTCAATTCTAAAATTAAGCATGCCCATAAGTGATGTATTGTTTTTAATCATCTGCCGGGTTTCCCTTTACAAGTATTTTTATTTAAGAAATGTCTCTTTAGTTTAGGAAATAATGAAAATGCTATTATCTACCCAGTGACACTAATAATTTAGTTTTTACAATGATGTCTGTAGATTAATAATACAACTTTTATTACTAGCAAGGTTAACACACCTATTTCTTCTAGTGAAGATATTTCCTCTTGTCACCAAGTCATGGATGTGATTTATTGACAAGTGATTGCTAACAAAGGATTTTACACCAGCTTTTGGTTGTCAGTTCACAGAATTGAGACAATAAAACAAGACAATGAATAAGTGAAACCAGTTTATCTCCTCTAGATGGATATATTTCCCTCCCACTTAGCCAAAAATATAAAAATATAAATGACTATGTATACTTCAGTGGTTCTGTTTGTATTTAAAGAATTATCAAACTTGAAAACATTAGAAAATTATTTACAGGTTGAGTATCACTATCCAAAATGCTTGGAGCCAAAAGTAATGTTTCAGATTTTAGATTCTGTTTTCAGATTTTGGAATACATACACACTTTACCTTGTGCATTTATTTCATACACTTTACTCAGTAGTTTCAAGTAGTTTTATACACTATTTATAGTGTCCCTGAAATTCATGTGTGACCTGCTGCATGAAATGGTGGAATTTTCCAATTCTGTCATACTGTCCATCAAAAAATTTAAGATTCTGAAGCATCTCAGATAATGGATTTTATTATTTTTGTTGCTACTGTTCCCCCCCCCCTTTTTTTTTCTTTGTCAGAACAGGTTCTCTCTATGTAGCTCTGGCTAGCCTGGAACTTATTATGTATACCAGGCTGGACTTGAACTCACAGAGATCTGTCTGCCTCTGACTCCAGAGTGCTGACCTTAAAGACATATGTCATTCACTGTGCCTGGCCCAGATATTGAATTTTGGATTAAGGATGCTCAACCTGGAGGATGGAGGATAAAGCAGCTAACTATAGTGGCTACAAAACACTGGGGGGAAAAAAGAGAGAGAGAGAAAGAAAATATCCAACCAACTAAAAAGAACTCAGTTGTAAAAACCATATAATTTACAGTGTTATGAACCTCAGAACCATATAATTACAGTGTTATGAACCTCAGAAGAATAGAACACTGAGTGTCTTTTTTCTAGATAGCAAAGATTATTTCCTCTCTTGTCCCTGACAAAAGGCAGCCAATGATTTGGGATTAAAACAAAACACAACAGGTACTCACCCAAGGGACCTCTTACAATGACACACAACCCAGAACCGTCTCATTCATAATTACACAGTTCAATTTCTTCTCCCTCAATTATGTAGTACTCTCTCTCTTTAGAAAACTATAGTATTAGTTAAGCCTATTTTTTCTTACTATGAACTTTTAATTTCATCTGTATAAGTTACACAAGTCTACTTGGCACATCTTAAGAATAACACAAAATATGTTATTCTTGAAGAAAACTGAGACCATCTATTTTTAAAGAATAATCCCAGATACTTAATTCAATAAAGCAAATCTTACCATCAGCAGTAGAGATTTTTAAGTGATCACTAAATGTTCACCTGAAGATCATCAATGCCATATGAAGTGTAAACTTGAATATTTGTGTCCATTTTGTAAGCCAGAACTTGTACTGAAGAGTTTTAAGAAGATGACCTACATATATATAGTAAATCTGCCCCAAGAAACTTCTCAAAAACACAGTATAAACATTTAAGAGTCCTGCTGAGGTCCAAATTTCAACAAGGATTTTCTTGAAATCCAGTACAGTGGTCAAGGCTCAAGACCACATCCTGCATTGTTAGCAGTACAAGCTTTGACTTAAGACTACTCCTTAGAAAAGAGCACACTTGGTTACACATGGCTTTTAACCTTGAGCTACAGTTATGCTACAAGCCCATTCATCCCCAGGGTCACTCAAGTGGAAATGCGGACACTCTCCGGGAACTCTTCAGAGTCCTTGGTCTTCCAGCTTTGATGGAGATCTCGGAGGCGCTCAGAAGTCCGTGCATTGGCAGAAAGCCACAGATCCCAAAGTACGCGTGCAAAGCATCTGAAAAGGTATTTAGATCTATGATCAGCATTCTCACTTGCACACACTGCAAAGTGTCCACAGCTAATCACTACATTAAAAAATACTACTTTTTTGAAAGAACTAGTCCTAATTTCAAGTACCATTTTAAAAAGTCAATCAAAATCATGTATTGTATTAGTGAAATTACTATTAGAGGTGTTAGTATTCAAGCATCTTTATTGGCCTGACCTTGGGGTTCTGACAGGATACACCCTCAGCTGCAGCCACATTCCATTTTAAAGGCACTCTGCCCACCTCCCATTTTTTCTATTTTTCTCTCTGTGTCTGTTCCTTTCTGTCTCTGCTTCTCTGCCTGTCTCTGTCTCCATCCCTCCTCACCTCTCTCTTCTCTTCTGCTGCTCCTGTCTCCAGAGACTGGCCGCCTCCCTCCATTCTCTCCTTTTCCCATTCCCTTCCCCCTAATAAAAACGCCTCAACATGAGCTCTGTTGCACGGTGTCTTGTGTCTTTCTCATGCCACTTTTTAAATTACAACAAGAGGAATACATCACATGACTTTCTTGCCTATGGTCTCTAAGGATCTGAATAACAATGCCTTCTGTGAACTACAAAATATAAAGAAAAAAAAAGAATTTACATTCTAAAAGAAAATTTGTCTTTCATTTTCAATTTTGTTTTCATGGTGCTAAGTGCACCCAGAGCCTACCAAATGATTAGTACACCCTTCACCACCGAGCTATAACCAGAGTCCTAGAAAGTTTTCTAAAATGAAAACAAAACAGCAGCAACACCTGCTCTCCCACCCGAGCTTTATCCCAACAGTTCCTACACATACACCATCATTGTATGGAGTAAACAATGTCTAAGCATACACCAACACTGTGTGGAGTCAATGGAACTCCTAAGTATATACCATCACTGTGTGTAGTCAATGCAGTTCCTAAGTATACACCAACACTGTATGGAGTAAACGGAACTCCTAAGTATACACCAACATTGTGTGATGTAAACAGAGTAGAGTCCACCTGGAGAGCTGTGCCATTTCCGCCCTGACAGTCCTCACAGACTCACTTTCTACGTGCTGTAGGACTCTTCTGCCCTTCCTAACCTCACTAGTACCCCATTTCCAGGGAGCCACAACCCTCTGCTGAGCAGTCATGAAAACACATGGCCTCTGCCTGCCTGAGAACCTTATATAGACCTCAGAAGTCCTCAGAACTCTGCAGTTACAGGAACACTACAAAAAAAGTTTCATAGCAACCAAGAATACCTTTCTATTTTTGAAATGGCTAGCATTTAAGATCCTAAGAGCTACTAAAGTTCAGAATACCTTACCAGGTCTAACTGTCACAAGCTAAATGTCTCACTTTCCTCTAATTTTTAGAGTAAAAAAATAAAAATTTTCCCTGTTTCTTACAGTTTACTCTAAAATTATAAGTGAAAAAAGCAGTATTAACTTGTTTAGAAATCAGAAATTTTTCAAGGGGGAAAAAAAGGGTAAAAGAAGGGGCTGGAAAGATAGCTCAGCAGTTAAAGAGCACTGGTTGCTTTTTCAGAGTTGCAGCACCCACGGCTCACAACCATCTGTGCCTCCAATTCCAGGGGCTCTGACACCCTTTTCTGCCATCTGCAGGTGCTGCAAGCATGTGGTGTACAGACAAAAATACAGGCAAAATATTCCACACACATAAAGGTGAATAGCAAGGCATTATAACACAAATTGCCTTAAAACTGTCTTAAATATCTTTATGATTTTTATTTTGTGTGCGGGTATGATAGATTTATGGTGTACATGTAGAGATCAAAAGACAACAGAGGGGTTGGTTCTCCCTTTCTACCATGTTGGTTCTGGCAACTTAACCCAGGACACCAGGTCTGGCAGCTGGTGTATTTACCAACTGAGCCATTTCATTGCCCTTTAGACAGTCTTTTACAAAATGTATTAGTTACTGTAACGTGAGAACTGTGGCAATATTTTCTATCAATTATAATTTCTGAAGACATACACTTACCAGATCTACTCAAGAAGTAAAACTCATACTGCTCTAGATTCAAGCCAAATGTAATTACCTGGATGACTGTCTGGCCATTTGGCAAATCCCCCCACAAGGCGATCCTGAGTTGATAAGATGTAATTCCTGTTCTTCTCAAAGTTAGTGTACTGGAAAATTTTCAGAAGCTAAAAATAAAATGACAAAAATTAACAGGCACAAAACTTTTAACTGGCTTGTGGTTCACATTTCAGCTACTGATCATTTGGATAGGTTTTTCTCTAGCTTCGACTCTCAGAGTAAATCTTTGGGGACTTGAGCATTTAAATTAGCCAATTACAGTTATCTTTTATTTTCTTAGCAAGCTCATTAGCAAGAAGATTTAATATTGTCAAGATATGACTTCTAGTAAATTCCTACTAAAATTACACACACACACACACACACACACACACACACACACACCAGGGGGAGTGAGAGGGGGGACGATGACATTACTCAGACATAAAAAGGAAATTTTTATATATACAAAATGGATGACTCCTAACATTATGCTATGGGAAATAAGGAAGAAACAGAACAAATGTTGCATGATTGCATTTATAGGAGTGTGATGACTTACAATGTCAACAGACTCTAGAGCCAATTGGTGGCAAATCTCTGGGCGTGTCTGAGAGGAACTATCAAGATTAGGTTAACTGAGATGGGACACCCCACCCTCACCCCTCATTGTGGGCACACTATTTCCCCAGGCTAAGATCTTGGACTGCATAACAGGAGAGCCGAGTGAGCATCAGCACTCACTGCTCTGTTTCCTGACTGAGGACAAATGTGACCAGCCACTCCTGGCTCCTGTGGCCAGGCCCTCCCTAACTCCCAGAACTCTAAGCCTAATCCAGCCTTTCCTTCTTAAATTGCTTTGGTTAGTTTTTATAACAGCATGATGAGATTCCCAGAAATGGTCCATGCAGATAGGGCATAGAACAGTGACTACAGGAGGCTGGGGGAGAGGATAGTGAGACACACTCCTGACAGAGGCAGTGGTGGTTACATATTATTTTGGATATCACTATTATTATTGGATTATATATAAATGGTTAAAGTGCTAAACGTACTAAGCTATAGTTCACACAATGGAAGAAAAGTTCACAGAGCTTGTAACAGAACAACCAGCTTGACAACTCAGAGTCCTGTGACCAAAAGAAAAGACAGTTTGATATTGGGAGTTTCTGGGTGTGATTTAACAGGAAACACCACCATCACTAAATGATACTTAGTGTGGAGAGCAATTATGGCTCATTTTTAGATGTGGTCTTGATACTAGGATGTTTTCTGTAGTTATTTTCACTTAGAAAACATATGCAAGAATTTGCAGAAAACAAAACAAAAGATTGTCTTGAAGTCAACACAGTTCCTGGGAGGAGTGTATATAAAACTGGTGAAGGACAGCTGCTTTGGGATAACCACTACTGAAGCATGAGCAATGCATGGGAGCTCATTACACTATCCACACTATTGTAAGTTATGTCTGAAATTTTCATGACTAAAAAAAGTACAAACATTTTTAAAATGGTATTAGAAGTACACAGATAGGCTATTGCCTTCATTTTAAACCAGTCTCTTTTCAGATTCCTTTCAACCACACATATGAGGTAAACAAGACTTTACACACAAGATGAAAACAAACTCTAGTTATAGTCAGAACACATCACTAAGTGGTTCTTAAGGGGGAAGGCATTTCAAGAAGCAAACGTTGGAGATAACAGCTCAGAGACTTTATGTAGAAGTCCAATCAACGGAATTTGGAAGTTTTAAGCAATACAAACAATAGAAAAGAAAGAAAGAAAGGAAGGAAGGAAGGAAGGAAAAAAGGAAGGAAGGAAGGAAGGAAGGAAAGATTTTAAGTGGATTTCCAGGGAATGTCCTACAATTATCTTTTAAAATTAACTCCCTATTTCTTGGTATGACTTCCACAACAATCCCTGTTCTACGTGCTCTAGTCAGCTTTATTATGGGTATGTAACAAGTTCTAAGCGGGTATAACTACCAAGGGCTTGAGTGCCTCATTTCCATGGCCTCTCTTACCTTTAGAGTTGCTCCCACCCAGAATGAGTAACAGGTGTCAACGGGCTTATTAGGTCTTCCATGGTATCCATTCTGCTGCCTCATTATACACCACCTCTTTATCCTGTTTAGTTCTTTTTCTGAAAAAACTTCTTCCAGTTTACCCATCAGGCACAGTGACGCAATGCCACAAAAGGTGGATCCTCCTGATGATCAAAACACAAACTGTAAACTTCAGCTCAGGTGTCTATGGGCCTATGAGAGCAGTATAAAATATTGGGAGAAGGAGAATGGTCCTGTTAGCTATAGGACAGTGAAATAAAATTTAACAAAGAACTCAAAACACTAAACAGTGAAGTCTCCCATGTCAACTGACAAAACAGAATAAAATTTAAAGTAATTTAAAGCTGTAAAGGACCTTATACTTTTGGGCTTGGACCAAGATCAAGGACTCTGTTCCAAATTACACAATTTACACCAGAATCCCTAAGTCTCGCTTTTAAGTTCCTTTATGTCCACAGGTTCTACATTCAGGGAGGCAACTGAGAATTCAAACCATTTGAAAAACAAATGGCTTCTATACAGACCTTACTTCTAGCCACTCCCTGCCCAATACAGCAAAACAGTATTTACATGGGGCTAGGCATTGTTGTAATAATAAAAAAAAAATAAAAAAAAAAAAAAAAAAAAGCGGCACTTGAGAGAGAAAGATCCATTCGACAGGGCTCATGTGGAGGAGTTTTTTTATTAGGGGAAAGTGAATGGAAAAAGGGGGGAGGGAAAGGGGGAACACCAGCCTCTGGAGACAGGAGCAGCAAAAGAGAAAAGAGAGGCAGAGAAGAGGGGGGAAGAGAAAGAGGGCGATAGAAGGAGAGTCAGGCAAAGGAGAGGGGAAGGAGGAGGGAGAGTGGGGGGGCAGGGCCCTTTTAAAAGGGAACATAGTGAATGGGCACAGGTGGTACTCTTGGTGGCTGTAGCTGAGGGTATATCCTGTCAGAAGTCCAAGGACAGGCCAGTACAGATGCCTGACTACCAACAATTATTACCCAAGAGATTTAAAGACTGGAGCAGTAGCATAGGTTCTATACAGATCAAACTGACTGTTTAATGGCTTTGTTAGTTTTATGAATTCTACAATGAGCATGTAGTTAACTAGCATGTGGTCAGAGGTAAAGCAGGAAACTAAATAAGCAAATAGTTAACAAGCATGTAGGCAGAGGTACAGATGGAAACTAAATACACAGGCACATTCCATACTTAAGCAACATACCAAAAACAAACAAACAAAAAAAAAATGGTAAGTTCACAAGAGTTAGGTGTTCAAAGGAAATTAAGGCCAAAGATTTAACATTTCTGTTCTGGATTAAGAAGTAGAGATAATTAAAAAGAATCACAGAATCAAATTAATTTATCTGAGCTTCCTATTAGGAAATTTTTTGGGGGGAGATGGGGGTTTCTCTGTGGCTTTGTAGGCTGTCCTGGATCTAGCTCTTGTAGACCAGGCTGGTCTCAAACTCACAGAGATCTGCCTGCCTCTGCCTCCCGAGTGCTGGGATGAAAGGCATGTACCACCACCGCCTGACCCCTATTAGGAATCTTGAGGGACAAAAATTATTTTGGCCACAGCAAACTCAGATAGCTCAATTCTTGCAGAACATATTAAAACTATACCTCAAAGCTTCTGGTAAAATAATGAGATAACATGAGCAGTACACTTGATGATCAAGGTCACCATTTGCCTGGTCAGTCTTTCTGATTACATATCCAGACTAAGTAAAGGACAGAAATGAGACAACAGACTTAGAAAAAGGAGAAAAAGGAAAATCCACAACCCCAACCCAATATTACATATTCAGACTGAGGATAAAGGAATAAACACACGTGAAAAACCCAAAATAGCATTAAGCAGAAACTGACACTTCAAACTCAACTTTCCATGAAAGGGATGACTACAAAGTGCCACTGAGGACAATCAATTAAACACACACTAGTGGCACAAGCATAATGGAGGTGAGCTCAGGAGATAAGATGAAAGAACTCATTTACAGCCTAATAGATAAACATCGACAAATGAAAGTAGAATGAAGCCAGCATTACAGAAATCAGAGAGCTTGTTCAGGGCTGGGTGGGGACAAATGACAATTACACTGGAACAATGAATGGAAAGGTAAAACTCAAACAAAGGAATACAAGCAGAAGCAGGCACAGTGGATCACAGGCCCTAAAGGACGAGCTCCAGTAATCTCTTCACAGCCCAGAATAAGGACTCTGGGATCTGAGCACAGGCAGGCAGTGCTGCTCCAGCACAGCCACTCTACTCCTTTGAGACTCTACTCCAGGCTCATCTGTGAGCAGTGTAATGGCTAATTCTGACTGTCAATTGATAGGATTTGATTGACGTTTCTACATGATTTTAGCTGAGAGGGAAAGACCCACTCTAGTGAGAATACCATTCCACAGTAGCGATCATCTCCCTGCTTCCCACCTGCAGGTGTGACTAGATGTCTCAATCTCCCACCACCACGACTTCTCCATGTGACTGTGCCCGCCCATTACTGAGAGTCAAAACAAACCCCTCCTTCTACAGTTGTTTGTCAGGTACTTTGTCCTAGCAATAATCAACTAGTAAAATAGGTAAAGGCATGTTCCTGTAACAGCTCCTTTTCCTTTTAATCTTCATAGTGGTTTCTGACTGAACCTATCACTTACAAAGAAGCCTGGTAACAGAGGCCTGGCATCCCAATTAAATGAGATGACATGTAAATTATCAAATGATAGCTAACACAGAGCAGTAGTTAAATTAATAAGTTTAACCTTAATGCACAGATCTGAGATTACAAATTGGTGACATGTGGTGACAATCAGTTTAACTAGATAATTAAAAATAAACATTCAAAATGCAGGACCGCTGGCTACTCTGGAAACTCAGTAGATCTGGTAGTAAGTTATTCCATATTCCCACACAGTGCTAACAGGCTTGGAAATGAAGATCATAAGATCATGGCAGCTATGTATGTGTTGCATGTGCATGTATGTATGTATGTATGTATGTATGTATGTATGTATGTATGTATGTCAGAAACTGATGTCTGTCTCCATCAATCTCCATGCTATTGATTGAGACAAGGTCTATCATTAAACTAGGAGCTTCAGGGATCTGTCAGAGTACCTCCAGTGCCAGGGTTACAGGTGCATGACAGACACCATGTCCAGCTTAAACAGGGAGATCTGAACTCAGGTCATCTTCATCATGCTGATATGGCAGGTACTTTACCATCTGAGCCTGACTGAGCCACCTCCCCACTGTGGTTTTGTTAGCAGGCTGAGTGTGGTAGTGATGCCTGTAATCTCAGGACTACAATAGTTGAAACAGAAATAATACATGGCTGAGGTCTGCCAGGGCTAAACGGCAAGAAAACCCAGCCTCAAGAAAATGAACCAGGATTGGGATGGCTCAGTGTATAAAGCATCTGCAGTATAAATGTTAAGATCCCTGGAATCAACACAAGCCTAGACAAGATATCGGGGATCTGTAATCCCAGCAAGTTACAAGGGCTAGTTTGGCTGGTATATATGCTGGTAAACAAGAGACAACAAGGTAGAGTGAGGACCCACAGCTGAGGCTGTCCTCAGATCTCCACAGATTATATGACATGTGTGTGTGTCCATACTTACACACAAGTACACACACAAACTCAGAAATTTAGAGTATGTGTTCTGAGATGCTAAGATGGTATCATAGACCTGCTCAGCAAACGGATGTAAGGGGTTGGCACTGCCCAGTGAACTCAGTGTTGTCTGATAAAGATGATCCTTCAGCTATATGCCAAATGTGCTATAGGCACATCACTGGATAAAACAGGCAAAGTTACCCTGGAAACCGACAGCAATAAACAATACACAAATACAGTTCACTTAGAAAATGCAAATTGTAGAGAGAAAAATAAAACTAAAACAGTGATTAAAGAATGGGTTACATGTATGTGGTTAACCTTAAAGCCATGGAGCCAAGTTAACAGACAATCAGAAGACTTCAATTTCTGGACATGAATTACAATCCATCACTGATGATACTGATGGCTACTGAGGTGAAACCAACTCAAAAGAATGACTAGAGTGATCCAGGAAGCTTTTTCTTCTTGAAAGGATGCTTCAGAGAGTCTGTCATGTTTGGATAGTCCTTCATATCCCACAAAATATAAATAACTGCAATTGCTCCTGTGCCATGAGGTGTCTCCTCACTAGAGTGCTACAGCAACAGGCACCAGGGCCTATCCTTGTAGAATGCTCCTCTTTGCACAACCACATCCCTCCCAATCACAGGGATGAACAGGAACGTCTGTGCTCCTGAAACTAGTCAGCATCTGGACACACATGGATGGAAATTCCTCAAATAATTAAGTGCTTGTTGTTTCACAATGTAAGTAACCGAAATTCACCCACAGATTCTTCCTAAGTCACGTCTCAAGAATGGAAATTCGTAGAAGCCAGATATCAGTCACTGGTCTTTGATGTAAAGTTACAAACACAAAATCCTCAACACAGAATACACTCTATTCAAAGAAGCATTTGACCTGTAAAGAAATGTGTTGGCCATGCATGTCTAAAAAGGTTTAGGGAAAGTTTCCCTTCACATCACCCAATCAATAAATATCCTCTCCCCGCCACTCCCTGCCTACAATTAATCCCCAGTACTGACTGACTGGGAAGGCAGACTTGAATTTACAGTTCTTGACCTCTTTGTTGACTAGTTTTGAAGCAGAACTTTCTTTTTGCAAACCTAGTGTCATAGAATTGGCTCTTATGCATCATAGGAAGTGAATCTTGCTTGGTATCTCTATCACCAGCTACCCTTATACCTATCTGTAACTCAGGCATAGACCGGAACCTTGGTTATCATATTATAATAGGGGGTCAGAGGAAAAGTCAAGACAATTTTCTATACAGAGGACAAAACTTCTCTTTTGTTGATGGGTAAACCCTTAAGAAAATCTAGGAGGCATGGTTACACAGATGGTGTTAGGGCCAAAGCCCTGCTCCAATCATGCTAGCAGAGGGATGGGGACAACAAGTGAACACAGCATAGCACAGCCAGTGATGAGAAACCTCAAGTTCACCTGGAGTCTTCAGCATCTGGGCTGGAGAATGGAAGCCTGATTACTTCTGAATAGAGATTTTGATTTTGAGGGTACATTATTTTTGATGTGCTAACAAACTTAATGGGTACCATCTCACTAGTCTAGTTCTGCCCAAAGTGAGGGAAAATGTGAGACTGGTTCAATAGAAAAATGTCTTGTGATTATCACTAAGGATAATTATATTACGGAAGGTAAATAAAAATTTCTGTGTTCAATATATCTCTTTGGTTTAGGCTTACAATTGTTACACCAATGAAAATAACCTGCTGTTTTCTAGTAATAGCCTAAGAAACAATACCAAGATCTATTCATGCAGTTAACATTTTAACAGATTACTAGAAATCTCTCTGGCTTGAATACTGTCTTAAAGATTAGTGATCTCAGAGGCTCCAAATAGGTAAGTACCACAGTGTCAAAGACAGATGTGGGAGAGTGACAAAGACAGTCATTTTACAGCAAGGGTTCAGACAGTCTGAGACTTTTTTTGTGCTGAAGACAACCCATGCTATTTTAAAACGACACAATCATTTAAGAAGTCTTACCATGAGATTCAAGTCCTGCTCCCTGTGCCAGGCCATTGTCATAAGACTGAAAAAGAAAAACAGTTTAGTTTAATGGAAAAATAATAATTATAATATTAGATAAGTTGCCCAAACAAAGCTAGCTGTTTTGATCTCTTTTATATCTTCTAAAATAGGTACTTCCTCCAGAGAAGACGTGAACATTATGCAGTCTCCATTCTTCTCTTTTTTAGCAGGTGGAACCATCAAGTGCTTTCTTTCACAGAGGTGCATCTGGGAAGTCTGCAGGGCCCACTGCACACTCAGCTGCATCAGTAGCCATCTCCAATCCCAGCCCTGCACACTCATCCATTGCTTAGAACACAAGGACTTCAGCTAGTCTGAGACACTGCCAGCTTACTGAGGATGACAACCAACTAAGTTTCAAGGACCTCATATATCTTCCAAAATCAAAACAATACGATCAATAAAATTTCTACAACTCAACTTTGCAGACATTCCTAAGTTTCAGATTATTTGCCTACAGAAACAGTACCAAATCTCAGCCAACTAGCTCTGATAACCGTTTACAACATCAATGGTAATTTGTGAACAATTCTGAGAGAGAAGGAGGAGGAGAGCTACTGCTCAGTGTAAGACTGATCTGAAGTCACTGCCTAAGAGGGCCGGGTGTTGGTGGCACACGCCTTTAGTCCCAATACTCAGGAGGCAGAGGCAGGTGGATATCTGTGAGTTTGAGACCAGCCTTGTCTACAAGAGCTAGTTCCAGGACAGTCTCCAAAGCCACAGAGAAACCCTGTCTCGAAAAACCAAAAAAAAAAAAAAAAAGATCATCCTAAGAGTAAAAATATGGGCAGTCTTGACTTTGCTCAGTCCCAGGACATATGAGTTCCACTTACCACAGTTCAAATAACAATAAAAAGATTCAAGTTTTCATAAACACAGTACACTAACTGTGAAATATACAAGCTCGCTCTTTAGTCCACAAATCTTTACATAAATAGAAAGTGTATACATCATGATCATGACCAATCATATCATCTTCTCTAAACTTTGTTAATATGTACTTACTGCCTCCCTTCAGTCAACAAGGTTATTTATTATCCCTGTGGGCTGTTAGTGCTGTGCAAATAAAGACGGCCATACTAGCAGCCACAAAGAATGTGCAAGTCAAGTTGGCAATGCTCAGAGGACATGACTTCTGGACAAGAAAGGTAAAAATGGAAGAGATGGGGTCATTTAAGCATCAGGTAATAAAGGGTAACTAAAGAGAAGAATTTAGAGGCCTGAAAAATAATAGAAGACTTCCTTTCTGCCAGGAAAACCATGCAACATACCATGTTTCCCCCACCACCAAATCACTCAAAGAAATCATACTTTGTTGCAATGAAAAAAAGGGATAACCTGGGACTGGAGAGAGAGCTCTGTGATTAAGAGCACTTACAGCTCTTGGAGAGGACCCAGGTTAGATTCCTAGCACCCACATGATAGTTCACAACCATCTGTAACTCCAGTTCTGGGGAATTTGATAGTTCTTATGACCTCCTGAACACACACACTGAACACACACACTGAACACACACACACACACACACACTGAACACACACACACACACACACACACACACACACACACACACGTTTTTTCAAAAAGAAAAATGGGCAACCTTGAGCTCTAAATACTTCAAAGAGAAAAAAATTACTAAATGAAATATATCTAGTGTTGTTAGATAAAAACACAGTAAATGAAATGAAAATCCTACTTCTCAGTGTATGAAAACCAGTCTATAAAGACAAGAAACAGACACAAGGACAGAAGGAAATCAGGAAGTTTAACCCAGCACCCAAAACTCAACTGCACATCTACCAACACTGGGAACATGAAAAGGAAATTAGATAGTAAAAACAGAGAGCTGGGGAAATGGCTCGGTCTATAAAGTGCCTGTGTACCAGGACCTGAGTTTGGACCCCAGAACCCACATAAAAGCCAGGCCTAGTGTAGATGCCAGTAATTCCCACACTAGAGTAGGTAATATCAAGAGGGGATCCTTCAGCTGGCTGGGGCCCAGCCTAAGCAATGAACTTCAGGTTCAGTGATAGATGGTATCAAGAGAAAAAGGCAGAGAGCTACTGAGGAAGAATACTCAACATCTATTTCCGCTCCCACACATGTACACACACCAAAACTTACAAGTACATACATATCACACACACACACACACACAGAAGAAAATGACTAATGGTAGAAAGAAATAATAATGTGTTAAATGTTTTAAAGAAAAGAAAAGTAAGAGATTAGCCAGTTGTATAAAGATTACCCAGTTGTGGTGGCACACACCTTTAACCCCAGTACTGAGGAGGCAGAGGCTGGCAAATCTCTGAGTTTGAGGTTAGCCTGGTCTACACAGTAAGTTCCAGGACAGTGGAGTTACAGAGAAACTGTCTCAAAAAGACAAACAAAAACTCCAACAAAACAAAACAACAACAAGAAAAAGAACTGAATTATAGGACTCCTAAGGAACAATTATTTAAAATGAAAACACAAAAAGGGAAAGAGAGAGGCTGGAGAAATGGCTCAGTGGTTAAGAGCACTCAGTGATTATGAGACAAGCTCAAGTTGAGCCCCCAGCACACATCAGGGAGGCTCCCAGTCACCTGTAACTCCAGCTCTAGGAGGATCCAACTCCTCGGACCTCTACGGTCACCTTGTACTTTTGTGCATACAACTCCCCACCCTGCCCCGACACACACAAAATTATAAATAATAAATCTTTTTCTGAAAAAAGAAGGGAAACCAAATAAGGGCAGAAAAAACACAATTAAGACTATGAAACTGATATATGGAGGTACAAGTGGAGCAGAGACGGAGCTCAGTGGTCAAGTGTGCTTGCTTAGCATATACCTGACCCTGAGCTTGATCTGAAACACTACTTTGGTCACACTCAAAAGAAGTAAAATTGCCAGGGAGAAAGTGACTGAAATGAAAGACCAGCAAAGAACACATATAAAATTGAAATACAGAAAGCCAATAAGCAAAGCAGGGCTGGTGACACAGTTCATTGGTAGAAGTGCTTACCTACCATGAAAAACGATCTAGGTTCCAACACTGGAGGTGGGTAGACGGAATATGACAGGATAAAGACAAAGACAAGAAACAGGATTTTTAAAGAAGTATAACATTCTATTGGCAAGGCTAGATGGAAAAGGCACTCTTCTATGGGGGTTAGAATACAAATTGGCTCATCTTACTGAATACATTGTAAGGGCAGTGAGCTGGGCAGTAACAAGAGTATTACTCATAGCCTGGTCCATATGGTCATCTTTGGGAGTTAGGAAACAAAATATAGCTAATAAAATTGCTTATGTACTTAGCTTTTGATCAAATAATTTACCTAAAGGTATCTCTATAATATGTAAAAAGTTAAGCAGAAGTTTATCAATAACAGCACTATTTGTAAGTAAAAAAAAAAATACTCTTAATACAGAATAGTTGTAAATAAAGAATCTTAGAAAAGACCATGTTATATCCACACATTCAAGTAATGCAAAACTGTAAGAAAAAAATGAGGGAAACTCTGTGATTTTTTTTTAAGGCATATCATTCAAATTACCAAAAAAAAAAAAAAAAAAAAAGCAAATTACCAGAAAAGGTAACTGCAGAATTTAATAAATGATGTGTTGTTTATATGTGGGATAGTTATAGCATATTAGACATAATTATGACCTGGTTATGGTTTTCATTTGGAAACTGAGTATTATATAAAGAGATATGATGTGTGTTTAATTGAGAAGGGGTAGACTTGTGATGGCTATTCTTGGTTGTCAACTTGACTAATCTACAATTAACTAAAACCCACACAGCTGCACACACCTGCAAGGGGTTTTTCTTCATTGGATTATTTGAGGTGAGAAGATCTACCCTAAATCTGGAATTGTCTGAGATCAGAAGACCAACCCTAAATCTGGGTCATGCCTTCTGGCGGCAACCCACATAAAAGGACATGGAAGAAGGAAGCTTTCGCTTTTTGCCTGCTCACCCTCACCCTCACTGGTAAGTTTATCCTGTTGTTAAGGCATTACTTCACTGGTATTAAAATATACTTCTTTGGGATTCCAAAGCAGACTGATGACTGCCTGAGACATCTAGCCTCACAGCCACTGAACAACTACCAGATTCATGACCTTCCATCAGGAGACATCCATTGTTGGACTAGCCAGAGCACAGCCTATGTAAGTCACTCTAATGAAACTCACATTTGATATACATATATGTCTAATACAGATTAGGGTACCAGAAGAGGGTTATTGTTTTAATAAGGAGAAATAAAAGGCATATGGATCTTCTCATCAAACAATAATACAGGAAAGCAAAGAGAGAAAACAGTAACAATGTTACCTATAAAGTGAATAGGAACAAGATGGTAGGTTTGGGGGTTAAGAAAGGGTGTTAGATAAAAGGGAAATAAGAAGTTACACTTGTATGAATTTTTTCTTTAATAGTTCTGACATACAGAAACAGGTTAAGTTATACATATTAAGTAAGCAATCCTATATGTAAATAAATAAAGGCCAACAACTTTTTAGGGGATGGGGAGTCTAAATGGAAAATACCTACAACAGGAATTCAAACAGAAATAAATACATCTAACTGCAGCTGGAATAAATAACTTATTAAAGAGGGAAAATAAATAGATCGTATATAGTAAACTAAAAGTTGGGCTTATCTCACAGACTCATGGTTATTAACACACAGACTACTAAAAACACACAGAAGCAGACTGTGTTTGCATGTGTATGTATAAAGGTCTACGTATACATACATATACAACTTTCTTAGCTCTGCTCGATTAGAAAGGCCTAAAAGCAATGATAGCCAATGTTAATAAGCACACTTAGAACCCAGATCCTTGTTTCTTCAACAACGTCCTTCAGTTAGGACCAGGGCTCCTTCAAGAAATGCCTCATTGCAGGTCCAAGGCTAAGAAAAGTAAAAGTTGAAACAGAAATATCTCATACCAGAAAGCAAGAAAGTCTTCAAAGAATGAAGGGAACATGTCAACTGACCCTGCCTGAGAAGGTTCTCAGTGACCAAATATGGAACAACCTGAGCACCAAAATGTAATGCATTTCTAGTTCCAACTATGATAAAACACTTTCACCAAAAGCAAGTTAGGGTTCTATTTCAGCTTATAATTCATCACTGAGGGAAGCCAGGGCAGGAACTCAAGAATGGACCTGAAACAGACACTCTGGAGAAATGTTGCTTGCTAGCTCAGAGGCTCATGTTTCTGGCTTTGTTAAGCAGCTCAGGCCCACATGCCCAGGGTGTGGGGCTGCCCACAACAGGCTGGGTCCTGGGATATCAATTAACAATCAAGACAATCTCCCACAGATACACACCCACAGGCAATCCCTCACAGAAGACAGTTTGTTCAGATGACTCGAAGCTGTGTCAAGTTGACAGCTAAAGCTAACTAGAACAATGTGATACTGAAAGACGATATTCCATTGAATAAAATAACAATCTATAGTCTATAGTATAAATCTTTATTTACAGTGTAAATAAAGAAATGAAGGCTTTTTATAATGGAATTTCCACTTATTATAGGATAGGTACTAGGGTGGGAAAACCATACACACTACAACATGAATGAATAAAAGGTCATGAGATACAGGCTACTTATTAAAAATCACACATCTGAATGAAATGCTGAATAAACACACAAACACACACACACACACACACACACACACACACACACAACCCACTAGTTTTACAGAAAAAACTAGCACACACCATCTTACCCAAATTAATGTGTATCACCCAACCCCTAACATGTTACTTTCCTTTTCCTTTCCTTCCTTTTACACTCTGCACTCTCATTCCTTCCTCCCCTCCCTTGAATTCTCAGCCATCCTCCTGCCTCAGCCTCCTGACAGCTCAGATTATAGAAATGAGCTCAGCTCTTGGCTCTTTTCCCCTTAAAATTCTTAAGGTCTTTTCTTTTTGCAGTCACAAGCTTTTAAACTCTGTGTATTATACATTCAATAAAATCTATGCATAAGGAATTCAGCAGATAGGGGCAGGGGGATCTCTGTGAGCTGAAGGCCAGTCAGGGCTACATAGTGAAACCCTATCTCAAAACAAACAAACAAAAAACCACAACAACAAAAACAGAACAGAAGAAAACATCGATTCATAGTTAAATCAACTCCTCTAAGAGTTCTGACATTCCATTGTGAGATAGTAACAGATCTGCTACAAGTTGGATTAATTAGCCTTAATAGGCTGAAGAACTCTCATCTGAAAATTATCTGTAAATTTCGAATCCTCATAGTTGGGAAGTGATAAGCCAGGAGAACATTCTGCTGCCTCTAGTTTATCCAGAGGTGCAGGAGCAAAAAGCCACCCTGGCTGCGGCCAAGCTCCTTATCACTGCTAGAATAAATTTTATTGTGTAAGACAAACGTTTCTAGTTATCGTCTTTAAAATTAGATTAGAAAACAGATGTAAGCACTAAATTTTAATGGTCAATATGCTCTTTGAGATTATTTCCATATGGTGTTCTGGAAAACAATCCACCAAAAAAACCTAATCTTGTGACTCTTACTTTTAAATCTTGATGAATGCCAGCAATAACCTCAACTAGTCTGGTTGTACCAACATAACTCACCATACTTCTTCTGATGTAGCTGATGGCTTTTTTCATATCCATGCCTGACCAGTTGTTGAGCATATAGCAAATACAGGAAGCACAATACACGAACCTCATATCATTCTCACTGCCTTCAGGAACAGCACAAAAACTGAAAACAAGGATGTGAAGCTGCATTAAGATCATTTACCTCAAGCAGGAACACAGGCTCTGGGTCTTTACAGAAACATCTATTGCTGACTTTCCTCCCACCACATTCTACAGGTAGAAAATGAACCTAAATCATTTATGCTCACCAGTTGTCACTACCCAGACTCTACTATTCAGACTAAGCTGTTTACTCCCACTAAGGGCAGCAGAAAAAGTAGCAAGTAAAACCTCACACATATTATTTGGGAGTAAGAAACTGCTAACTCATGTTTTACTATGTGAAATTTCTCCTAACTGTATATACAGATAATTATTAGTTGATATTGGGTTTCATTACACATTTAGTTTCAAAGAGGTAATACTGTGTTCCTTCCTCTTTATGGCAGTGATCCAGGACAACACCAGATTCCCAAATATCCATTTATTATGTCCCTTATCAAGAGCAGAGTTCTGAAAACACAGACAAGAAAATAAGGATCACAGTGTACAGGGTAGGGATGTAACAGCAGCAAACTTGTCCGCAAGGTCTTTTGATTGGAGACCATGGTTACTACTTCACATTAACAACTTACAACTGTTCGTAACCTAAACTCTTACATAAGCCACCAAGTATCCATGAGCATTAACTTCTCTATTGTTTAAATATGTCCCTCAATGAGCTAGAAAGCAAGCTATCTCACTTTGAACATACTTAATGTGCATTCCTTTCTCTACCATAAGTACTTTCAAGGCTTTTCAAACTAAATAGCTTATTTCAAATTCATCCTGAAGGGTAAATTAAAAAGAGAAAGGAATTCTAATAGAAAGTGAGCTTTATTTTTGTTCATATAAAATGGGATACTTTTTTCATTATGCACTATGTATACAAACATTCTTTTCCATTGTGTGACTGGGGATCTAACCCAGAGCCTTCACACACTAATTATGCACTAACTCTTGAGCTACATTTCCAGTCCTGGATGGTGCTATTAAGAGAATATGATCCTCTACAAATCTACTATAGTATTATATCAGTTTTTTAGTTCCAAATAGTTTTTACTTAAATATAAAAGAAAAATGAAAAGTTCATACCTCCCATCTTCAAGCTGAAGTGCTCTCAAGCCTGCTAAGCAAGCTTCTTTATCTACTCGGCTTAAGTCATCTCCAAGAATAATTAAACATGAAAGGCCAGTGTAGGTCATCGCTATGTGTCCACTGTCATAAGGATGAGCTGTTCCAGGGTTCTAAATCCAAAATTAATACCATGTCAAATTAACTGAAATTTTAAATTGTATTTCACAAATGAGGTTTGGCATGAGGGTTTAGTGAATGTTCTTTATACCAATTTGTATAAATATCTACCTGAGGGGAAAAAAAGCCTCAATTTTTATGTCTCAATGTCTTCTTAAAAGCTACATAATTTTCTAAATCTTATATTCCTCCAACTTATGAAAGTAGTTATGACATTTGAATTAACCACATATTTGAAACTTTCAACTTCAAGCCTATAATTTGTAAAAAGTATGTCTTATAAAGTTAGAAACTCATTCAATATTTTAAACCAAGAAATTCATAAAAAGAAGTAAAATTTGGTCTGGGAATACCACTCTGTGTTAGAGTGCTTGCCTAGTGTGTGTTGAGGCTGTGGGTTTAATTCCCAGATCTGTCAAAAAAAAAAAAAAAAATCAGAAAAAAGTTAAGACATAAGGTAAAAATCTAAATTAAATACCATAGTATTATTCACCACATAACCTTATCATTCTACTGTCATGAAGTTTAATCACTTCAGCATCTAATAAACATTAGCATTCAGAATATAAGAAGTAAAGGTAAGGACTTCAACTGTATAACATGAATCAAGGTCACACAATCTCTGAAATAAACCACATTTAAGCTTCATCTACGGAATCTAGCCAATAAGGTTTGTACATGTGTGTTAAAAAGGGTTAGCAACTTAATCCCACAATTTCCTTGCCCAATGACCTGTGCTTCCTCACAGAGCAAATCTGCATGCTACTCAATACCCTTTAACTCTGAAGCCATCGCCACCCACTGGTCCACCCCACATACAATTCTTTTAAATAGTTTCACTAACACCAAACCAATCTTCATCTTAACACCTCATGACTATTCTATTTCACGTTTATAATGGGCTTCTTGGAATGCCCACAGCAGGTCTCATTTTTCAGTATTTAAGCCAAACACCTGCTATTTTAAAAGAATGGCAGGGAATCCAAACATGAATTAAATGTGAACCTTGCCCATTAAGAGATGAAGAGATATCTGAGGACATTAACTACAATCCAGAGGCGGTCACTCAAGTGGTCCTGAAGGACATACAGTATTACACAGATTTAAACAGCGACAGGTTCTCAGGTGCTGGGGGATCACAGACAGGTGGTCTCAGGACCTCGTTTGTTGAGACCTCTTTTTTTAAAAATCGATGAAAAGGAGCAGGGGTATGGTTCAGTTGGTAGAGCCTGGTGTACTTGAAGCCCTGATTTCCATACTGAACATCATGGTGAAAGAAAGGGAAGGAACAAAAAATTTTTTTTTCCTCCACTTTCCACTGTAAAAAAACACCTTGGTAATTTTGTGCACAAGTAAAACCTCCAGCGCTTGCTCTGGGCCTGCTTCTTTGAAAACAAAGCTCTTCTTTGCTTCATTAGCACTTCTTTGTACACTGGCATGGGCCGGTTCAAAAACCTCTGCCCAAAATGCCAGGAAGCTGAGCTTCCTGATTTAAAAGTCACTAGCCTGGGTCCCCAATTTCTTCAGGGAGAACATCTCACTCTCCTGAGGAACAGGAAGCCAACATTAAGTCCTGGAACACAGGGAAGTTCACTGGCTTCACAGAAAGTATCTGAACATTGTGTTTTCAGTTTCTCCAGGAATCACTACATACACATAATAATAAGAGATAACTGTTGGTAATAACAAATTTCTACATATACATGTACCATAAAAAACTTCTAGAAAGGGGGCTAACAGCTTTACTTAAGACTTTTTTTGCATATATTTAGCATATTGAACCTAGAAGCGTAGTTCTTTCTAAATGTCTTCATCTGCTTTCTCACTAGGATCTCTTTGTCCCTTGCCCATGTTCCAACCTGAAGAGAACTAACCTTTGATGGATTGAATGGAATACCCAGGTATGAAGAGCCTCGGAAACCACAGCGACTTAGATTTGACCCTAGAAAACAAAGTGTGTGCTTATTTAAAATACAGTATCTCTGTATAGAATCCAAAGCAGTTTAACCACACAATTGTTCAATAACCAAAGCTCCATTTTCTCTGTCTGCACATATGGTACATACAGGTGAGTATGTATATGGCTGTGTGCACATGCAGAGAACAGAAGGGGATACTAGGAGTCTTCCTCTACTGCTCCTGACCTGCTATTTAGAGACAGTGTCTCACTAAACCAGAAACTCACTGTTTCAGCTAGGCTGGCAGGGCGGGGGTTACAGGCCTGCACAGCCATGTCAGGCTTTTATGTGGCACAGCTGGGGTTACAGGCCTGCACAGCCATGTCAGGCTTTTATGTGGGTGCTAGGAGTTGAACTCAGGTGGTCTTGTTTTCACAGCAAGTCCTCTTACACATTAAGGCCCATGGTTTCCATTTCTATTGAGATAATGTTGAAGACTCATCAGAAAACAGACCCGGAAGTTAAGTGACAGCTCACACAACAGGCTCTAGAATCCACTTTGACTCACTGCTTGATATGTGAGTAAGCTACAGATGTAAACCGTTCTATTGCCTTAGAGAGAATGTACATGCATATTTCAGTCTTAAAACTGTGTTCTGAGTGCTTAGCTTTGAAGTAGGCAGAATACTTAAGTTCATACTTGGTCTCTACTCATAATCCTCTTATTTTGTTTTTCTATCTGTAAGTATTCCCTCTTCCAGATATATATGGGATGTAAGTTAAGAACTTAAAAACACAACTATAATTATGGGCATAATGGCTGTTAGAAAACCAGTATGATAGATGTAAAAGGCAAGAATGTATTAGCACACCAGAACAGCCAGCTAATAAAAACTCAAGATGGTCTAAAAATGGGCTTTGATGCCATGAGCTTTCATCTCATAACATACCCATTCACTTCTCCAAACCAAACAATCAATCACCTCACTCAGCTTTTGCTTCCTTGAAACACTCAGTGGTAGTTTATAAATCTTTGCAGAAATGAGAAACTACTAAGTTGAAAACTTCCCACCAATCATTTTCCTCTGTCGGCAGCACTAATGTAGGCAGTAAATTCAGTACATGTGCCTTACTTTTGGTAAGACTAAAGTTGGTAAGCCACTTAGGGTTTGTTAAAGAGAAACCAAACCATACCCTTTGTCTAAGTGACTATCATCCCAGAGTGTACTTCAGGACCTTCATGAGCAAAGCCATATGCACAGAAGTATCCAGTGCAGCATGGCAGTGAAAATTTAGAAGGTACAGAAATTCCTAACAGCTTGCTGTATCTACCAAAGGGTACATTATGCTAACTTTGAAAGGAATTATTAGTAAAACTATATAACAGCATGGAAATCTGTATCTGAACAAGAGAAAACAAAGGATATAAAGCATGTGTATGATATTTTTAATTAAGTAAATGGTACATGCTTAACAGCCTGGAGGGAATAAGCACAATAGTAGCTGTGTGGGATGAGAGGACCAGGGAGCCTTCATCCTCTATGAGTCACTGTCAACAAGCAACCATCACAACTGCAGGGCCTGAAGACACGTTTATCATCTTGCTGTGTCAGATAATTAGAAGGCCAACCCAAGTCTCAGGAACTGCAATCAAGGCCTTCCAGCACAACCTTACTTACTGGAGGCTCTAGAGGAATGGTCAGCCTCCCAGATCAGTCACATTGTTGGCAGATGAGTTTCCTGAAGTCTCAGTTTCACTGCTGGCTATTAGCTAGGCGCTCCCACTGGCTGCTAAAGCCTCTCTTACAGTTTCTTACACAGGAAACTCTTACCAGAGAGCAGCTATCATCCAAATTCTTTCCAAGATTAGTGTCCCTCTGGCTTTCTCTTCTGCTCTTTCATGACATTTTTTGACTGACCTGCTGTTCATGTAACTACTGATATGCACATACCTACATATGCATATACACACACAGGAAGATTATGTGTATGTGGGAGAGACCTACGGATACACTGCATTTTAACATCAGATGATTAGTATAACCTTTACTATCATCCACAAAGTCCTACAGCAGTACCCAATGTCTGACTGAAAATGAATAAACAAGAATCTTTGGGACAGACAGTTCAGTAGAATTCCCTTCTATCTTTATCCTTTCATCATGACTTTGTTTTAACCACTTCAAGGTGGGCAAACAGTATCAAAAGTGTCAGATCACAAAAGTGTGATCTGAATTGAACATCAGCCTCCTCTTTTCCTCCCCAACCCCTTTTAAAGATCTCCTTGCACGCTACCAACTTGATACTTCACTATAAAAATCTGATCCCAGTTCCACTTCTGATTGAGAGAAAACTCTATGCATATTTTGAGCATAGGTCTATCTCCTTACTAGGAAGTTCTTGAGTCCCCTGATAACTTAGGACAATCCAGTTAGGGGTTTCACATACAGTGTGAGTTCAAAGAAAATGCTTCTGAGTAAGATATCACTTACTTAGAGACAAGTGAATACACTCCTGCTTCTGAGATTTAGTTAGGTTAAATTCTTAACTTCTCTGAGAAGCAGCAGCAAGAAAACTGATGCTCAAAAATCCTGTATCGTTGGGTGTTTTAGCATGGACACAAGGAACCAAACTCAAACTCATGACCTTTTTCTTCCTAATACTTATGCTCTACGTGCAAGTAACAATCTATTAGTTTCTCCTGTCTGTCTGTCTGTCTGTCTGCCAGAGTCTCATGTAGCTCAGGTTGGCCTCAAATGTTATCTAGCCAAGGCTTTGAGCTCAGATTCTCCAATCTCTGCCCCCAGATGATAAGACCACGAGCAGGCACTAGCATGCCCAGCTGAAATTTACTCCACTTCCTAACTGGAACAGTAACATACTACAAGTAGGATGCTGCAGGGTTCTCTTAAGGGACAAAGGATATGTTCAGGTTATAGCAGTGACCATGGCTTAATAAACTAATTTAAATTGTCCAATTAATTATTATCAAAAGTGAAACAAGAAGAAATGAAGAGCCTTTCCTGCTTTTACAATACTTTTAAAGGAAAATATCATCAAAGTAAAAAGTGTCCTTTCTTCTTTTCCCAATAGGACAATACACCGTCACCATGAAAATCTATTTAGTTTTTGGAGACAGTCACAACATAGGGAAGACAATGTAGTATTCTGAACTGCTTGTGGAGTATGAAACTGGATTGAAAAAAAAAGTTTCAATGTAAACAACAGCTCACAGGAAGTTCTTATTTCTCATGGCACATTTACTAACTTTTAACCTAGCGTCCAAGAAAGAAGATTTATTCATCAAACTGGTTTATCAGCCATACACTTAAGTACCAATGCTGTGAAAATATGTTCAATAAGAGAACATATTTACCATTTTTAAGTTCGTTGGGCATTCTTTTCTAGTTCTCGTCAAGTCTGCTGGCTACTAGAGTTTCCTTTATAATTCTAGAAACTTACCATCTCATAATATTCAAGGATAAAATGCAATTTGGTCCAAACTTATCACTGCAAGTGACGCCAGGTGAAGTTGAAGCTCTATTCAACAGCACCATCTAGCGTTCACACTAAGCATCAGCAAAACACTAGAGTTCCTTGCATAGTTTGCCCACTAGACCTAGTTGTACACAGAAGTTGATATGATGTAAGACATTGTGGTCCTATCTCAAACTGACATGAAAACCATGAATATGAAGTCTAGATAGTCGTATTTTAAGTGAAAACATCTTAGTTAATGGACCCTCTACTTTTGTGGCACCAACTTCAAAGACAGGAAGTCTACGTTACAATGAAAATTAATAACCACAGAGCAGAAGAGTCCAATAAGAAAAACAAAAACTGAGTAGATGGGGATGCAACAAGCATAAGAATTTATTCATGTCATATGCATATGCGTTCACGATAAAGTATTTGGGGTTGTACTATCAGAGAACATGTTTAGAATGTTTGCTTGAAAAATAAACACTAAAACTGACTCTTGCCTGTTGGCTGGCACTTGAACAGTAGGGCAGCACTGAGACCGGAGAGTCTGTCATGTCAGTCCAACTCTATCTTTTTAACATCTGTGCAAGGACACAGACACAATATTTTTAAGTATTCATTCTTTGATAATTTTAAATTTACAATGTATTTTGACCATATTTATGACTCCCTCTTTTCCCTGACCCCTCTCAGATCCACCCCTCCCTCTCTGCATCCCCCATTCCCACCAACTCCAGTTCCTTTTCTTCTTCTCTCTAGACCAAGTTTCTAGCTGTCCTGTAACTACCTCTGTAGACTGGACTGGCCTTGTACTCAGAAATCTGCCTCTGCCTCCTGAACACTGGGATCAAAGGTATGTGCCATGACCCCCCCCTTTTTTTTTTTTAAATAAACCCTGGACTTCAATTTGTGCTGCTCATACAGTCTTGAGTGTGGGGTCATCCACAGAAGAAAGTTTTATAAAGAACACTGTCCTCTCCCTCTTCCACAAGTCACCAAATATTCAAAGCTCCTCAGTTAGGGATAGGAACTTAAGAGTCCCTCCTCAATTCATGCCCGAATATCAACTGGCTTGGTCTTGTTCAGGCAATGAGTGCAGCAGTCCTTTTATGCCCAGGGATTCTCTGGGCTCCCATCGTGTGTGTGTGTGTGTGTGTGTGTGTGTGTGTGTGTGTGTGTGTGTGTGTGTGTGTGTG